CTCGTTAACACCAGTCCAGTGGGAGGATTTTCTTTTTTGTTTGTGTTTGGAGATTTTGGACCACTGATCAGACTGGGGCTGCAACAATCAATTATTTTGATTATTGAATAATTTGGCAATAAATTTCTTTTTGGTTTGGTCAGAAGATGGTGAAAAATGGACGATTATTTTTAATGCTGATTTATTCTGATGTTAAATGTTTTTTTGTTGTTTTTTTTTTTTTTTTTAAAGAAAAAAGCAGATCTGCAACAATTGGTCGATCAATGGATTAGTGGAGTGTCAGGAAAAGACTTGGCAGCTGTTAATGAAGAATATGATGGAGCCTCTGATCAGAAGATCTGTGTCTCTGAGCTGAATTTTTCTGAGGTTTTGGACCGTACGTGAAACATTTTAAGACTAAGTTGTGGTTATTATTTTTCTGCTGTTGACGTTTGACTAAATGAAAAATAATCAGTGATTGATGATGAAAGTGATGATTAGTTGTAGCTGCAATAGACAGTAAAAATCACCAGAAGAAGAAATTTTCACTCTTTGTTTTGTTAAATCTCAGTTTATGAGCTGTGAATATTCTGTGTTTTTGGTTGATAAATACTGTGAACACTTCATCAAAGCAGCTGTCAACCAACTGGGTGGAGCGTAATCTATTAGTGAATTGATTAGTCAATTGACAGGAAGATGAAATGCAAAGACAAGTTGTTTTTAAGATAAAATTAAAAACGTCACTGGTCCTCGAACGTTTCCTGGTTTTCTGATGCTAAAACTAAATCTGGCGTCTGAACCGCCACTCGGACAAAACGAGACACAAAACCAAGTCAACAGTCGCTCCTTAAGGAAGTCATGGCGGGCATTTTCTCAATCAAGTGAATGGCAAAATCATCATCCAGTGTTTCCCACTGGCTGATCTTCCTGGTGGGGGGTGGAGCAGCGTGTGACTGATGTGCAGAAGGTCATGCAGTTTAAAGGGGGAGATGTAACCGTGGTTATTTTCTGTAGCTACAATTTACAGATGTTTCCTAAACGCCTAATGGTGTGACACCAACATGAGTTTTCTAATGGAAGATCTAAACCAGGTGATTTTTATCTACCTTTGAGGGTCTTAATCTACCTGGACAGGTGTGATGTGTATGTTTGTCTCAACCAGCTGGTTCACTAAAGATCACTAAGACTGATTTCATGGTTGAGTCCTGAGGTTCAGAATGATGCTGCAGGGATCAGCTGTGAGTCCAGCTGTGAGTCCAGCTGTGGACCCTGCTCCTGTCTGTCCTGTCAGGTGTTGATGATTGACAGGTGCAGGTGAGCCTCAGTCTGGTGTGTTTGTAGAAACCAGAGGAGCTGGTCAGACTGGTTTGAACATGTCGGTCTGTCAGTCTGGTGTGGACTGTTGGTCCGGCTGAGGTCATCATGACATAACAATAATATTCATGACAATATTATTATTGCTGTCAGTCAGTTCATCTTTACCTTTGATTCAGAGTGTAGGCAGGTGGGAGAGTCTGTGACCATGAATACAAAAGAACACTGGCACCGACTGGACAGTGAAGGCAACACGATGAACTGATAAACAAAAGACATTATCATGTGTGTTCTTAACATGATGTCAATATTTCATGTTGTAAATATCTCAGCATCAGCAATCGTTAGATATCAATATATATTGAGATAAAGCAACCTTTCTGTAAAGTCGATCAAGATAATCTGTATTTTATCAGGTCACGTCCACACGACTACGTTACATTTTAAAACTCATGCTACGTGTCCTCCTCCGTCCTCACTGCTCCGGAGTCTTAGAGCACTGAAAAGTGTTTTCAAAACGCTGCTGGACCAGTTTTGTTTTGAAAACTCTGGGGTTGTGTTTTATTCTGAAAACTCTGGGGTTGTGTTTTTGTTTGAAAACTCTGGGGTTGTGTTTTATTCTGAAAACTCTGGGGTTGTGTTTTATTCTGAAAACTCTGGGGTTGTGTTTTTGTTTGAAAGCTCTGGGGTTGTGTTTTATTCTGAAAACTCTGGGGTTGTATTTTTGTTTGAAAACTCTGGGGTTGTGTTTTATTCTGAAAGCTCTGGGGTTGTGTTTTATTCTGAAAACTCTGGGGTGGAGATGGTTTCTAATACGGAGATAAAACGGCGGTCTTCATTGTTTTCACATTAAAACGTAGTAGTGTGGACGTGGCCTCAGAAAACAATCAAACAAACACGTCTAATGAAACAATTACCAGAGTTCATAAAGTTTGAGAGTCTCCACAGTAGGCCTGGGTGATATGGCCAAAACTGTTATCGCAATAAAAATTTTCATATCGATATTTATCAGGATAAATGCCTCATCGTTATTTCTTTCAAGTGTAAAGGCTGATTTTTGCTTCTGAGTGAAAGTTGAAGGAACCAACAGTTTGTGGTTCTAAACTCAACAAAGTAAATAGAAAAGTAAGTTCTGCAGTGTGATACATGTCACATGATCAGACTGCAACATACATAAACAGACAGAGAAGACGTGCACTGGGTCGTGGCCTGGCGCTGGTCGAGGGTCCACCAACACTCGTTAGGGCCTGTAGCTTCGTACTTCCTGTGTGTGATTGTTTCAGATGATGGGACAGGTTTGTGGAGTTGTCTCTCTTTGTGTCTTTGATGGACCGTGTCTCCGGCACAGTGCGCAGTGCACATTGTTGTTTTTTGTCAGACTGTAAAAAGCCAAAATATCTCCAAACTACTGAAGTTGAGTGTCCTCTCTTGTCGACGATATCTAGCTGCGTTCTGCTTTTCCTGCGGTGACGCTCATTTCACCTTATTTGTTTACTCCGCTCTGACTTCAAGCCCATCAGCCTCTGCGTGATATCATTTCCTGAGTTTATACCTCTCGCCGTGCATCCTAACTTGCGTAATACAGACCTATTCCTGCGACATGATTGGCCGTTTCGTGATTCATTTGTGAGCATGCTATAAGCATTAATTATATCAAACATTTATCAACACTTTTATGTTTTGCGATAATTATTGCTATCGTTTTATTGCCCAGCCCTACTCCACAGGGGAGGAAGGACAGAGGATCCAGAACCAGTTCTGCCAGGATCCATGGGTTCATCAGGAACATCAAAGGTCCTGTAGTTACGAGAGTTAAATGTTGATGTGAGGACAGTTTTATAGACCAACGAACAGAACAATGATGTGATGAATCAGTAGTGACACCATGAGGACCAGGGCTCAGCTGCTGAGGTATCGAGGGGCAGATCCACTACAGACATCACAGTCTGAGACGCTGTCCTGCAGTCGACCTTCATACGGAACTTTAAAGTTTGATTCAGATGTTGAACGTGAATCTTACGTTCCTAAGTGTTTGACTCGCTGATGTGGGAACCAGTTGAGGCGTAGTCAGAAGGAAAACCATGTACCTGGTGTTTTCTGTGGTTAAAACAGGTCTGATATGAAGAGTCGGGTTTGGGGCAGGAGGAAGAATGAGGGTCTTGATGTGTCGTGTAAATAGGAGTGGGCCGAGGACAGACCCCTGAGGCTGCGTCCACACTGCTACTCTCCTCTGTCTCTGTCCAGACTACAACACAACCCCTGAGTTTTCAAAATAAAACACAACCCCGAGTTTTCAAAATAAAACAGATCTAGCTGGGTTTCCAAAAGTCTCGAATACTCTGGAGTGGACAGGAGGCGAAAACGTAGCAAAACAGATGAGATTTAAAATGAAGGCATAGTAGCGTGCACGCAGAGTCACACTCAAACAACTAGACATGGATCTTCTTGGTTAATCCAGCAAGTTACAAACCCGTCGAGTCAAGAAACTTCACTCTGATGCAGAAATGATATAAAAAACCAATATTGCCAAAAAGGATCCAACATACCCTGAAATACTGTTAAACACCAGTTTACCTGAGGCCACTGCTGTGGGTCAACACTGTAGGAAACACACCTGTTCTTCACTTCACCTCCTTTTACAGTTTGTACTTTACATTGGTGGATAATAGAGCGTCTAATGGGTTAGCTAACCCTAACCCTAACCCTGACCTACTTAATAATGCTGCCTTAGATTAAACTCCAGGAAACAGTCACATTCACTGCATGAAAATAATCAGCTCTGCGGCTGAAACTAATGATAATTTTAATTACTGATTAATGTGCCAGTTATTTTCCCAGTTCATTGATTAGTTTGGTCAATAACTGCCCATCACTGAATTCTAAGGTGACGTCTTAAGAAAACCAGGAAATATTCACACCCTAAGAAACTAACCAGAGAATTGACCCTGAACTCATCATCATAAATCCGATGAGCTGATGATTCATTCTCTTAGTCTCAGCTTTGACTTTTTCTCACTTTGTCAGTTTGTGAGTATTTGTGCAGCATACACACAAATATTTGACTCTGAACTGAAACATCAGTGGATTGATCACATGAATTTATGAAATGCATTCAGGATTCAACACTGACCAGAAGAGAACTGAAGCTCAACAAACTGAAATATTTGAATTGATGAATTGAGTATTTGTGAGCGTCAGAACTAACGACCAGTGTCTCTGTCTCTCAGGTCGTGCCATGGGAGTTTGTCTCCTGGGGGGAAACATCGAGCTGAAGCATCAACAGCAACCACGCCTGAACTGAACACACACTAACACACACCTGTGTGCCCACACACACACACACACACACACACCCACACACACACACACACACCCACCCACCCACACCCTCAGACCACAGAGGGAGTTGTTTTCTCACCCTCAGGTCAGACACTGTCGTCCCACGGTGCATTGCTGCGTCACCGTCGTCCACCATGTCGGACGCCCCCGAGGCTGCGCCCCCCAGCCCCCCTCCCCTCACCAACCCGCCCCCCCCTGAGGTCACCAATCCCACCAAACCTGGCAGGTAGGTAACCAGTCATACCTGAGCTGAGCCTAGAGACAGCGATCACTAGTGGAACAGAAACCTGTGACGGGAGGTGAGCTGCAGCGCCACCCTCAGTTCTGTGGCTCTTCTGTGACGTTTGTTTGTGTCCTTCAGAAAAACCAACCAGCTGCAGTACATGCAGAACGTGGTGGTGAAGACTCTGTGGAAACATCAGTTCGCCTGGCCTTTCTACCAACCTGTGGACGCCATAAAGCTCTGCCTGTCGGTGAGTCACTGACCTCAGTCACTACACACACTACACACAGTTACTGCACTCAGTTGTATTTCTTTTGAACAGAAAGGCTAGCTGTTTGCAGTCTTTATGCTAAGCTTAGCCACTTCCATGTTTCCAGGATTACCACAAGGTGATCAAGAACCCAATGGACATGGGAACCATCAAGAAACGTCTGGAGAACAATTATTACTGGAGCGCCAGTGAGGCCATGCAGGACTTCAACACCATGTTCACCAACTGTTACATCTACAACAAGGTACACACAGTCCTGCAGTGACCTCTAGTGACCTCTAGTGACCTGCAGCCTCAAGTGTGTCAGTGGTCAGTGCAGCTGGTCAAGTCTCAGTACAGTCTGATCTGAATGGACAGTACTGAGTTGAAGTGAGAACACGTCCTTTAACCTCAGGCTGTCTCCTGACGGTATTGAACCTGTGTTATGTTTCAGCCGACAGACGACATCGTGCTCATGGCTCAGGCTCTGGAGAAGATCTTCCTTCAGAAAGTGGCTCAGATGCCTCAGGAGGAAGTGGCTCTGCTGCCGCCAGCGCCCAAAGGGAAGAACAAGAGCAAGCAGCCGGCTGCTGCCACCACAGGTACATACTGCTGCCACCACAGGTACATACTGCAGTACTACTGCTGCCACCACAGGTACATACTGCAGTACTACTGCTGCCACCACAGGTACATACTGCTGCCACCACAGGTACATACTGCAACAGGTATTAGTTATATATATTACAGTACTAACAACACGTTCTACAGTACTAATACTGTTACCACATGTACTATACTGTACTAACTATACTACTACGTTCTGTAGTTACTGCTCCATTACATCTCTAGTGTTGCCATAGTAACAAGTCTGACTGTAGTAGTAGGATGTACTAACAGTTCTCTCTCTGTGTCTCAGTGAGTCAACAGGCCGAGTCTTCAGCCTCCCCTCCCCCCTCCTACCCCTCCCCTTCCCCCTCTCAGACCCCTGTTATCTCCACCACGCCCACACCTGTCCAGGCCACGCCCCCCGTCTCTGCCCCGCAGCCCCCGGCAACCATGATGCCATCTGCACAGCCTGTTGTCAAGGTAACCGCCACATGGAGTGAGACAGCGTCACATGATCCAGGATATAAACATAGACAGACACTGACTTTTCTCTCTCTCTCTCTGTCTCTCTCTCTCTCTCTGTCTCTCTCTCTCTCTGTCTCTCTCTCTCTCTGTGTCTCTCTCTCTCTCTCTCTGTCTCTCTCTCTCTCTCTCTCTCTCTCTCTCTCCCCCCATCTATCTCTCTCTCTAACAGAAGAAAGGTGTGAAGAGGAAAGCCGACACCACCACTCCGACCACGTCCGCCATCTCTGCTGGTCGCGCTGACTCTCCGTCTGCTCAGGACTCTAAATCGGCCAAGCTGGGCTCATCCCGCCGCGAGGCCGCCGCCCGCCCCGCTAAGACCCGCCGTGAGACGGGCGAGGAGGTGGCAGGGGGTGAAGTGGGAGGCGGAGGAGGAGGAGCCATGGGGAGGAAGAGTGGGAAGGTGGGCGAGCAGATGAAACATTGTGACGCCATTCTTAAGGAGATGCTGTCGAAGAAACACGCCGCCTACGCCTGGCCGTTCTACAAGCCGGTGGACGCCGAGGCGCTGGAGCTGCACGACTACCATGACATCATCAAACACCCCATGGACCTCAGCACCGTCCGGGTAATGCACACATGACATCATCACGCCTTGAACACACCGCCATGACATCACACACACCATGAGACCAGGTTAAAGCGATCCCAGGTCACATAGGTGTGGGAGGAGTTTAAATCCCATGTAAACTGCTCCAGATCAAAATACAGTGATATCAAACAAGTAGCTTGGTTTGTGTTTTCAGGTCCTCCCCCTCCCTCCTTTAGTCCTTAATAAAATATAAACAGGTGAGTTATATAAACAGGTGAGTTTTATAAACAGGTGTCATGAAGGAGGAAATCAGCTCTAGAGACCAAAACAGTTTCTGTACCAGGCTGTAAACATGTTGATTTCTGCTGTAAAGTTGGACATTTTAACATGGGAGTCTATGGGGACTGACTCACTGTTGGAGCCAGACTCTAGTGGTCGTTAGAGGAACTGCAGCTTCATGTTTCAGGCTGGAGGTTGATGATGATGATGGTCTTCACACACACTCTGACCAGCTGGACTGTCATCGACATGCTGTGGTTAAACAGATGTTTTACGTTATTGGTCATGTGAAGCGTTGACCTTTGACCTTTCTTCAGGTGATGACACTGATGTTTTTTCTTTCATCTCCCCTCCAACAGAAAAAGATGGATAAAGGAGAGTACAACGATCCCCAGAGTTTTGCGACTGACGTCAGGTTAATGTTCTCCAACTGTTACAAGTACAATCCTCCAGACCATGAGGTGGTGGCCATGGCCCGCAAGCTGCAGGTACGTAGAACCTTCATGGCCGCGCAGTTAGCATCTTTTCAGGACTGTTAGTGCAGTTAGCATTTTTTAAGACCTTCCTGGACCTTTAATCCTGGTTCATGATCATCCCTCTGTCTCCTCAGGACGTGTTTGAGATGCGTTTCGCTAAGATCCCAGACGAGGGCCTGGAGACGTCGGTCCCATCTACGACACCATTGGTCAGTAAAAGCACCGCCTCCTCTGACAGCAGCAACAACTCCTCCTCTGACGAATCGTCTGACTCTGAGGAGGAGCGAGCCACGCGATTGGCTGAGCTACAGGAGCAGGTTGGTGCTGCCGAGCAATCACAGGTCAAGAACATCCTGGTTTTCTTCTTTTAATATTGAGATTCAATGAACGTTTAAAAATGATGTGATTTAATGTTTGACATGAAAATATTGATTCTACATATTAATGTGATTTTAACACTGACCAGTGGAAGGCCTTCCTGAATATTGAATGGAGGTGATAGGTATTGATAATTAGTCTATTCCACCAGTTGAAGGCGGTGCACGAGCAGCTGGCCGTCCTGTCCCAGGCTCCGGTCAGCAAGCCAAAGAAGAAGAAAGAAAAGAAAGACAAGGAGAAGAAGAAAGACAAAGACAAAGACAAAGGGAACAAGGGAAAGATGGAGGAAGAGAAGAAGCCGAAGGCTGTCGCCCAACAGCCCAAACCAGCCAATCAGAAGAAGGCGCCGGCCAGGAAAGCCAACAGCACGGTGACCGCCACCAGGTACGATACATCCGTTTCTCTTAGAGCTGCAGGATTATAGATGAATGAATGAGACACGTGACGATCAGGTGACTCATCTTGTTTCCAGGCAACCGAAGAAAGGCAGTAAGACGTTGGGCGGGGGCTCGGCCAACGGAGACGACGGTGAAGAGTCTTCCCTGCCGATGTCGTACGACGAGAAGCGCCAGCTGAGCCTGGACATAAACCGGCTGCCGGGGGAGAAGCTGGGTCGCGTCGTCCACATCATCCAGTCCAGAGAGCCATCACTGAGGGACTCCAACCCCGACGAGATCGAGATTGACTTCGAAACCCTCAAACCCTCCACCCTCCGAGAGCTGGAGCGCTACGTCAAGTCCTGCCTGCAGAAGAAGCAAAGGAAGCTACTGCGTAAGTCCTAGTACCTGCACACTACTGCACACTACTGCACACTACTGCACACTACTGCACACAAACACTGGACGTTGTTAAAGTTCCTGCAGACATTAAATAAAAATTCTCTACTGTGATTCATATTTAGTTTCACGAGTTTTCATCTCCTTTCAATTCCTGATTGAGAAATCTGGATCAGGCCTGAAGCCCCGCCCCCCACCTGCTGGCTCCAGAGACTCAGCCACATGTTTGAGCCTCAGTCAGACCCAGACTCAGATGAGGAGTCTGTTGAGACCAGAACCAGAGACTAGCAGATGGATCAGAATGGTTAGCATAGTTAGCATCTTTTCAGAACGGTTAGCATAGTTAGCATCTTTTCAGAACGGTTAGCATAGTTAGCATCTTTTCAGAACGGTTAGCATAGTTAGCATCTTTTCAGAACGGTTAGCATAGTTAGCATCTTTTCAGAACGGTTAGCATAGTTAGCATCTTTTCAGAACAGTTAGCATAATAAGCATCTTTTCAGAATTGTTAGCATAGTTAGCATCTTTTCAGAACGGTTAGCATAGTTAGCATCTTTTCAGAATGGTTAGCATAGTTAGCATCTTTTCAGAACGGTTAGCATAGTTAGCATCTTTTCAGAACAGTTAGCATAGTTAGCATCTTTTCAGAACAGTTAGTGTAGTTAGCATTATGTGCGAACAGT